CCTCGTCATCAGCATCATCATCAGTATCAGCATTAGCAGCTTAGCATCAACATCATCATCAACATCATCATCATCATCATCATCAGCAACATCATCAACATCATCATCATCGTCATCAGCAGCATCAACAACATCATCATCATCATCATCATCATCATCATCATCATCATCATCATCATCATCATCATCATCATCATCATCACCTGTCTTTCTTGTTCCATTATCCCGCATCCCCCTCACACACCCTCCCTCGATCACCCACCATCCCCTCTCATTCCTCATTCTGCCTCGTGTCCCTCCCTCATCCGTCATTCCGTCTCCCTCTTCTTCCCTCTGAGATTATCCTTCAAATGCCAGGCGGGTACGGCCCTCTGGACACTGGTGGGTCCCGTTCTCTCCCTCTCTCTCTTTCTCTCTCTTTGTCTCTTTCAACGTTGGTCCTCGCTCTCTCTCTCTCTCACTCTCTTTCTATCTTCCGTTAGCCCTCCCCCATCATCCATCTCCTCCCCCCCCCTCCAGCCATGGCAAGCAGCCCCACCCAGTAGTTTTAGCCCTCGTCGAGGCGAGGCCAAGGCGAGCGATGCCCTGCCAGCTTTCGGCCGCGCACGCCTCGCAAGCGCGCAATTCTGGTGCTGGTGCACGTCACGGGCTCGCTTGCCGTGCCAGTTCCGACGAGCGGATGCGAGAGCAAACGACGACGCTCGGGCCCGTTGTGCGGCGGTTGCTGAAACACCCCCCGGGCTGGCGACACTCCCTGGCCCACGAGCGTCGGCGCGGCGAAGCAAGAGTTGACGCCGTCAAAATTTCTGGGGCGCGCCCCCCTGTCGGCTAACTGCCAGCCGGCCGCGCGGGGCCCTCCGCAGGAACACACCGCAGTACCTGCTCGTCAGCTCCGAAGGCGCCCAGCAGAGCGCGGTGGCTGTTTTTGTTGGTGCCCAGCCTCTGCGCGAGCGCTCGTTGGAGTTTCCGTCGGGGCTCAGGCGCTGGCGTCTCTCCTCTCGGGGAGACGTAAGACCCGGCTACGGGGGACTCGGACATCCCCGACGAGGTCGTCAAAAAAAGGACGAGGCCGAGCCTGCCTTTTGACGAGGCCTCCCGCTGCAGACATCCCACGAAACTCCTCCTCGTCAAAATCCGAGGCGCGGTCGTCAAAAAACGATGGCGAACCCGAGTCCTGGCAAACCCGGGTCTTACGCTCCCCCGATCCTCCTCGTCGGGCAGCAGCTCGGCCGGCGCCGCCCGCCAGCGGCAGCGTGGAGGTCCACAGAGGCGGCCAGCCCCGCCGGCAGGGCCCGGTCGCGACGGGGCCTCGGCCGTGCCCTGCGCCCAGGAAGCCGCCCAAGCGGACAGCGCCGGCGCCGCCCGGCTTTATGTCGGGCCTGTCCCCCTACAGGGGGATTCTCGACGAAAAATTAAAAATACCCCAAACATATGTGACTATCGTTTGACCCTTTGGGGGTATTTTGAGGTATTTTTTATTTTTCGTCGAAAATCCCCCTGTAAGTGGACACGCCCGACTTAAGCCTGGCTCCAGAGGCCCCAGCCGCACAGCACAAAGGGCCGAGGCGCGCCAGCTCCTGGCGCGCAGCGAGCACGGCCGCAGGCGGCCGCAGCGGCCCCAGGAGCCGGCCCGCGGGCCGGAGCGGAGGCGGCGCAGCGGAGGCGGCGCACGCGGAGCCAGGCGGGCCCCTGCTTCCTCGCACGCAGAGCTCACGCGTGCAGAGTGGGCCAGGAAGCGCGCGCTTGCGCATTCCTCCTACTCTCGATGGGCCAGGGCCGGCGCGCGAGGCGGTCCTGCCTTGTATTGGCACTGACCCTCGCGCGCGTCCGTGCAGATCGGGCCTGGGTCGATATGCGCGCGTACCAGCATGAGCCTTCTCGCGAAAAATCCCCCCCCGCCCCCCCCCACCTTCGCGCATGGGGCACCCCCGTGCCGATTGGGCCAGGACCAACGCAGAATGGGCCGCGGCGGACGCGCGCGCGCTCCGGCACTTCCCCTGCCGCGGACAGGGCTTCCCCGTCCAGAGTGGGCCAAAGCCGACACGCGCGCGTCGGTGTTGCCCCCTTGCACATTCGGCTCTCCAACGCATATTGGGCCAGAATCGACGCGCGCGTCGGCCCTGCCCCGATGTGTTTTCTCAATGCGGAATGGCCCAGGGCCGACGCGCGTCGGCCCTGCCAGCAGGCGCACGAGGCCTCTCAAAGCAGGATGGGCCAGGGCCGACGCGCGAAAATCAGGGCCGCCCACCTGCGCATAAAGCTTTCCCGCGCAGCATGGGCCAGGACCGACGCGCTCTCGCGCGCGTCAGCCCTGCCGCCCTTCGTGCCATGCAGCGCGGACCAAGGCCCCCGCGCGCGCGCGCGTCGGCCCTGCCCAATCGCGCATTGCGCTTTCCCAAGCGAGACGCTCACGTCGGCCCGGCCCCCTCGGGCACGAAGCTGCCCCATGCAGAACGGGTCGGCCAGGGCCGATGCGCGCGCGACGGCGCAGCGCCCTCGCGCGCGGGCCTTCGCCACGCCTAACTGGGACCAGAAACCCGCGCGCGCGCGTCGTCCACGCTCTCGCGCGCGGGGCCGAACCGCGACGACTGGGGAATCAGCGCGTCGGTTGTTCTGCCCCCTCGCGCAGGAGCTTCCCCGGGAAGAGTGAGCCAAGGCCGACGCGCGCGCGCGCGCGTCGGCCCTGCCGCCTCGCACACGGGGCCTTCCCGCGCAGCGTGCGTCAGGGCGGCCGCGCGCGCGTCGGCCCTGGCCCGTCGCGCACGGGGCCCGCGCATGCAGCACGGGCCGGGGGCCGACGCGCGCGCGAGTCGGCTCTGCCACCCTCGCGCGCGGGGCCCTCTGCTGCGGAATGGGCCAGGGCCGTCGAGTTCGCAACGGCCGCGCGCCCTCGCGCGCGAAGCTTTGCCAGGCAGCCTCGGCCAGGGCCGACGAGTTCGCGACGGCCGCGCGCCCTTGCGCAGGAAGTCTTTGCCAGGCAGCCTGGGCCAGGGCCGACGCGCGCACGTCGGCGCTGCCCGCTGACGCACGGGGCTTCCCACGCAGAATGGGCCGGGGCCGACGCGCGCGCGCCGCCCCCGCCGCGCGCGAAGCTTCCCCGGGCCAGGGCCGACGCGCGCGCCCCGGTCCTGCTGCGCGACGCCACGGGCTTTCCCCCGCAGATCCCCCCACGCGGATGGCTTACCCGAGCAGAATAAGCTAGGGCTCCCAACTTCGCGCTTCGCGCTCCGCGAAGCGCGAAGCGCGAATAACTTCGCGCCCTCGCGCCGCCCCCCCAAAGGGAGAAAAGGAAGACGAGGAGGAGGGGGGAGAAGGAACGAGGACCGCGAAGCGCGAATAACTTCGCGCCCTCGTGGGAGCCCTTGAATAAGCGAGGGCCGACGCGCGCGCGTCGGCCTTGCACGCTCGACCCCATCCCGCGACTGGACCCAAGCGCCGGCCTTTCTTCGCAGGTGTGTTCGCATGTCTTGCTCTGCGCACTGGCTCATTGAACTCGGGGGCGGCCAAGAGAGGGGGGCGTCCAAGAGGGGGGGGGGGCGCAACTCATGGCCTGCGGCACGTGCTGAAGGGGGGGGGGGGCCAGGGACGCAGTGAAATAAGAGAAGGCGACATGAGATATGGGGAGATATCGTGGCCCTCGCCACGATATCCACCCCCCCTAGTCGTCACCCCTCGGGCCGGGCGAAAGGGGGGGATAGCAAAGGGGGGGGTTCAGAATCAGCTCACGCAGCTGCTATTCCCAGCGCCTCCCGGAGCCGGAGGCGGCCATGTATCGAGGAATGGGCCCGGCGGCGGGGCCGAAACCAGCTGCATGCAGCAAATGTTGTAACCCCCCCTTTCCCAATCCCTCCCTTTCGTCCAGCCCGAACCCCCCTCTTGGCCGCCCCCGACGAAATCAACCGTCGACGGCATGCGCAACCGACCATCGCTGAACAGAGCACTGCTGACTCATAATACCAAGTGTGCACACGCGTTGTCCCAGTACCCTGGAACAGTAAGGATCCTCCTCCTCCTCCGCCTCCTCCTCCTCCTTCTCCTCCTCCTCCTCCTCCTGCGCCTCCTCCTCCTCATCCTCCTCCTGCGTAAATCATAGCACGCGGGCCCCACGCGCACAGCGCATGCCAAACAATCACTACAGGACCGCTGGGGTGCGCAGATAACGCATCAAAACCCAGCACTTTACGCTTACAGGTAAGTCGGACTTGTCCCCCTACAGGCGGATTTTGGCAAGATGCAAATCCCTACAGGCGGACGTCGGGCGAAAAATGAGAAATACATAAAACATGTTCAAACATTATCAACGCATACTAATACTAGAAACATTGTCCACATACTATATTTTGCTATATTTGAATGCCCCATCCTGTAGAGGAACAGGCCCGACCTACACTTAAAACGTGGCGGTGCCTTTTTGTTCGGCTCCGTGCGCGTCGTGTTCGCACGATGGTCCAAGCTGCTCCTCGTGGGCCATCGCCGAAGAACAACTCACACGTCCGAGCGATGCCAAAAGAGACGGGGCGCGCATGTGTAGATCTACATAGAGAGAGAGAGAGGCATAGATCCGTGTGTATATCAATGTGTATTACCGTGCATCGCCCGGTTTGCACCTCCCAACCTGCGCCGCATGGCCTCCGCCACATAGCCTGCACCACATACATACAGACATGCTATATATATATATATATATATATATTCTCATATACACATTCATACACACGCACAGCAATTATATATACACACATATACAAATATGTATGTCTAAACATAGATCTAAAGATATACATGCACACATATGTGTATGATGCACCAGCTAGCTTGACAGGTTTCATTCTCTTCCTCCTCCTCCTCCTCCAACTCCCCACTATGCCCCCCTTTCCTCCTCATCCTCCTCCTACCCCCAACAGCCTGGCAATCGAAAAGGAGCGGAATGCCCGCGTGGAAGGCAGCGGCCCGCTGTGACCTGCCGCACACCGCGCAGGCTGGGCAGCGCATTAATAAACTCAGAAGCCGAACTGCTGGACCGCGTCCTTGCCGGTAAATGCCTGGCGCGCCGAGATCGGGAAGCAATAGCAATATCACTGTCACGCCGGCCGGGCGAACCCATCAGCGCGCCGCAGTTGGAACAGTTACAGGCTTCTGCACACAAAGGAAAAGAATAAACCAACGAAACATAGAGTAACCCGCGGGAATGTCGTTAGCGCCAAATGCAACATACATTATGTTCAGTGGCGCCCTCCCGGCGATATCGCTAGCACACAAAGCAATAAATAAATGAATCAACAGATTTGGCAAACAAAACCTCACAACAAAAACTCAGAAGGACCCCAGAGGAATCTAAGAAATTTGGAGGACGCGGGTTCGTGGACATGGGCGATCCGTATTGCAATCCAACTGCAGACGTTGATTATTTCAGTGGACGCTATGGGAGTCTGCGGAGGGATATGGCAACATCGTCAAAGGAACCTAAAAAGAGCCCCAGAGTAATTTCAACGGAGCCCCATTCCCCAATCGTTATTTGCACAAAAGGGGTACTAATGGAGATTGATCAATTCGGCAAGTATTCCAGGCCGATTTCGGTGGGCGGCGGGATTCCTGGGGTTCCAGTTTTTGGTTCCTGAGCTTCCAGGCACCTGGTCGATCTCACTATCGAGTTTATTACCAATCTCACCATCCATCTCACTCAATCGATCTCACTACCGATCTCACTCTCGATCCCACTCTCGATCTCACAATCGATCTCACTATCGATCTCGCTGTCGATCACACGATTGGTATCACTACCGATCTCACGAACGATCGCTCGATCGATCTCACGAACGATCTCACGATCAATCTGACGATCGCTCTCATGATTGGTCTCACGATCGGTGTCATCATAGAATTCACGATCGATCCCACTAT